TGTATGAGAGTGACAGTGCTACCGTGTCTCAATCCTTTGCTTACTCTTCGCCGTGACTATCTCGATTCGTCCTAACTAGAGAAATGTTTGGAATGAGATTTCCCTGTAATTTCATAGAAGAGAACATCACCGGCCAGAAAACTAACACCTGTATCCAGAATGACATGGCTCCTGCGCTCTGGAGCTGGGGTGGGGTTTTGGGTCTGTCCCTCGCTACACACGGATTCGTTACCTTCCCTCATAGAGGAGGGCGATCACGTTTGAAACCATCCAGATCTAACAGTCCAAGACTGATTTTGAATTTCCTCTTACAACTTCTTTAGCAATTAAAGAGCAGTGGAGTAGGGTTGTAGATTCAGGCAAGGTCAACCTCCGAAGAGGGAGCCAGGGTTTTAAACAGTTGTCCGTGTGGAAACTACAGTGTTGTAAAGGGTTCTATAAATTGTCATACTTTACATTTCAGTAGAGTCAGCTCATGAGGGTGAAATGTCATAGGAATGAGAAGGATTAATAAAAATGTCAGTCTTAAAATTATTTCCAGATGACAGAAACACAGGTGGTGATATTACTTTGATCTTTAGAGCAAAATAAACAGTTAAATGTCTTGTGAATGCTTCATTTTATATCTCTTGTATTTCCCCCTTGTCTTCTGCTATTTATTCTAGAAGATTTTATCTGTATCCCTAAAACTCTTTAAACTTGAAGGAAAAAAATGAAATGTGGCTAAATGTGTTACTTTTTGAAAGTTGCTTCATGACAGAATAATCCATTTCATAGCTGAAAAGATTAACCTTTGTTTTTAAAAATTTTGAATTATCTTTAAACTTGCTCTAGGCAAGTTTGCCATGTACATGAATTTTTTTTTTTTTTTGGAGAGGTTTTCGCCATAGGGCGCATGTGCTTGCCAGAAAGCTAGAGAGAGACAGAGAGACAGAAAGCAAGAAATCACCCCCCCCCCAGGGGGGATGGCCACACCACAATCCCTTCTCCTCCATTCTCCTCTTGGCAAGATCTTGGGAACGCTCATGCGCCCGGCATGAGTTTAAGCCACTGGGACCAGGACTCGAACCACAGTCGACTATGTGGGAGTTCAGCAACATAGCCATTACTTTAACTACTGGTCCCATTTACATGAATTTTATTATAACATGAAGACTTTTGTAAAAAGAATAGTGTAGACTTCAAAACAATCTGGATTTGTATGTATTAGATTATTTTTAAAATGGATTCTTCTATCTATGTTTAAGTTTTGGGAGCTAGAAGTAGAAGGCATAGGTGGAGTCATTTATTTATTTATTTATTTTAAAAATAATTTATTTAATTCTATTTGTTATTATTATTTCTAATTTGACTAGACAGAGACACACAGAGAGAAAGGGAAAGTGAGAAAGCAAGCCACCAGGTCCAGGACTCGAACTGTGGTCCGCCATGCGGGAATCCAGTGCATTTAACCACCACACCACCTGCTGGCCCCTGTGTCATTTTTTTTTTTTGATTGTACATTGGTTTGACCTCGAAGAAATCATGTAACCCTCTTATCCTTTCCTTACTGGTCAAGTAAAACTAAATGTCTGTTTACTTGAATGGTTGGGGAATTTAATGACTATAATTCATGTGGTTTCAACAACTATGACTTTTGTGACAGTGTGGCCACTGCAAATCTTCCTGAGACACATGACACATGGGGCTACCTTCTTGCAGTGGTAAATCTGACACAAAGAATGGACTCGATTCACCGATGATTATCGTAGTCTTACCGTACCTCTGAACTGCACTGTAAATGTCAGTCCCTCTTGGTTAGTGCAGTAGACACAGAAGGAGGAAGGGTTGTGCCAGTTTTGCTGAGACTGAAACCTCAGGCTCGTGTGTGGCCACAAATGTGCTTTCTGGCTGAGTGGAGATCCAACCCTGCAGTCGGCTTTACAGCCTCCAGCCTTGCAGGTCACATGCATTGCCACTGCACTGCAGAGGCTGGGCCTGGAAGTCTGTCATTTTTAGTAGCCTTGCAATCTTTTATTCTTGCAACTGATGTGCTTATCTTCTATATAAAAGATCTTTCAAAATCAGTTCTTTCTTCTTCTAGAAGTAGATGTAAGTAGTTAAGAGTTTGTGAAGAGTTGGGCCAGAATTAATTGAGATTTTATTGTGATGTCTGCTCTGTTCTTGTAGCACAGGAGGGTTGTGGAGAAGCGAATTCGTACCACTGTGGAGACTGATGTGAGTGGTTAAATGAATTCTAGCCCTTATTATTAGAATTCACTATTCTTGCTAGCCTTAAGCATTATTGCAAGTACTTGTTTATTCCTTACCTCTCGTGGTGGATATTAGTTTAACGTACTGGACAAATTGGTCCTTTGCAGGAGATGAAATTGTGGGCTCATCAATTTGAGCTACTGCTTATGTCCTCATGTAAAATAAATACTGAAGCGAGAGTGGTGCATTTTGAAGGATCTCGGCGTGTCCTCTGGAAGATATGGCTGATTAGAAATGTCCCTCTGACACCTTGCCTTCTGTCCTAGTGAGTCATGTAGGCTGTCTGCCCTGGGGGCTTGTCATTTAGAGTAAATGCAATGATGAGTGACACAATTCTGAACAAGAGGGCTGGTGTCACGGTTAACTGGTCACAGACTGGCAGAGATAGTTTCTCGAGGTACTGATTTAGGGTTGGGTGGGAGAAAGAAATTCCAGACTGAGTATTTATTCTGAATCATAAAATGTTAGGGATGTTGGTGCTATTGACTTAAGAATAAACTTCAGGCCCTGGTAATTCAAATATAAAGAGCACACAGAAATTTTAAGCTTCAAGATAGGACTGTGATCCTTTAAGCTTATCATGAGCATTTGTGGCATGCATAGAGATTTGTCTTCTCTATCGCTTTAATTCACTGGGATTCACTACGAAGTAGAAGGCTTATTTCCTGTGAGACTTAGGGGATGCATTCCCTCATTTTTCTTTCCTTTTTTTAAAAAGAATTATTATTTTTAAATTGTATTCATTTTTTAAAAATTTGACCACACCCACCCACACACCCAGAGAGAGAGAGAGAGAGAGAGAGAGAGAGAAACCAAGCCACCAGGTCTGGGACTCAAACAGTGGTCAGTCATGTGGGAGTATTCAGCTCCTTAACCACCAGGCATCTTTCAAAATCAGTTCTTTCTTCTTCTAGAAGTAGATGTAAGTAGTTAAGAGTTTGTGAAGAGTTGGGCCAGAATTAATTGAGATTTTATTGTGATGTCTGCTCTGTTCTTGTAGCACAGGAGGGTTGTGGAGAAGCGAATTCGTACCACTGTGGAGACTGATGTGAGTGGTTAAATGAATTCTAGCCCTTATTATTAGAATTCACTATTCTTGCTAGCCTTAAGCATTATTGCAAGTACTTGTTTATTCCTTACCTCTCGTGGTGGATATTAGTTTAACGTACTGGACAAATTGGTCCTTTGCAGGAGATGAAATTGTGGGCTCATCAATTTGAGCTACTGCTTATGTCCTCATGTAAAATAAATACTGAAGCGAGAGTGGTGCATTTTGAAGGATCTCGGCGTGTCCTCTGGAAGATATGGCTGATTAGAAATGTCCCTCTGACACCTTGCCTTCTGTCCTAGTGAGTCATGTAGGCTGTCTGCCCTGGGGGCTTGTCATTTAGAGTAAATGCAATGATGAGTGACACAATTCTGAACAAGAGGGCTGGTGTCACGGTTAACTGGTCACAGACTGGCAGAGATAGTTTCTCGAGGTACTGATTTAGGGTTGGGTGGGAGAAAGAAATTCCAGACTGAGTATTTATTCTGAATCATAAAATGTTAGGGATGTTGGTGCTATTGACTTAAGAATAAACTTCAGGCCCTGGTAATTCAAATATAAAGAGCACACAGAAATTTTAAGCTTCAAGATAGGACTGTGATCCTTTAAGCTTATCATGAGCATTTGTGGCATGCATAGAGATTTGTCTTCTCTATCGCTTTAATTCACTGGGATTCACTACGAAGTAGAAGGCTTATTTCCTGTGAGACTTAGGGGATGCATTCCCTCATTTTTCTTTCCTTTTTTTAAAAAGAATTATTATTTTTAAATTGTATTCATTTTTTAAAAATTTGACCACACCCACCCACACACCCAGAGAGAGAGAGAGAGAGAGAGAGAGAGAGAAACCAAGCCACCAGGTCTGGGACTCAAACAGTGGTCAGTCATGTGGGAGTATTCAGCTCCTTAACCACCAGGCTACCTGCTGGTCCCCGCCTTCCCTCATTTTTCTAATACACATTTTTGAGAGCTCTCATGCATCTAGCACCTGGATATAAAAGAGAACCAGGTGGCATCTTCTCACCTGGCCGGGATTTGGAGTCACAAGGCAGGAACTGGTGTCATGTGGGACGTACTTGTGTGTATGCTTACCAGTGGAGGCACGTGGAGAAGAAGGTGTTACAACAGAGAACGCCAGGGTTGTGATCTAGGTGTGGAGCCAAGAGGTTTCCCTGAGGGAATGATCTTTGAGCTGAACACAGGACAAGCAGGTTGGGAGAAAACTGTTCCCAGCTCAGGGTGTGCAGAAAAACCGAGAAATGAAGAGGCTGTCTCCTGAACAGGAGGGATTAGGTCGGCCTGTCTGGGCTGGGTTGAGAGTGCTGATGAGGCTGTTTACTAGAGGTAAAGCAGAAGGCAAATCAACGTTCACTTGATGGCTTAAATTTATAGTTCCTTCTGCCATATTCTGTATCTGCCACATTTCTGTATAAAGAAGCTGCAGAACTTTCTGGAGTTCCGATCTCAAATTCTGCAAACACCTAACACCGGGTCTTCGTTTTATTTTCTGTGTGGAGAAACACTGACAAGTGTTCTGGGGCTGTGTGGGCTATGGAAAGTGCGTTGGATGGGAGCCTGGAATGCTGTATTCTAAGGCAGGCTTTCTCTCCATCCCGAAGCATTGGTGAGGAATTTCCTCAGCACCGCTGGGCAGATGCAATTCCTAAGTCCTCTCCGACTCTGCTCTTCTGCCTTGATGGTACGACGTTGCCCTGGCTGGGCAGTTGCTTCAGTGTGGACCTGTTGTGCTGCAGAGCCCTTTTCTGTTCAGGTCCTTTTTATTCCAGCCTCTCCTCCTTCCCTGGAGCCCTGCTGCTCACCAGTTTACTGCCCCTGTCCCAGATTAGACTCATGGACATTTATTATGTATGTATCACATACAGTTACCCGGGGAGAATAAAGTTAAGGAGGATACAACATATACAATTATTATCATAAAGGCCATGGGGGAGATTAAAATAGCTTTGTGGTTCAAAGGGGGAGGGGATTAGGAATGACCTCATGGGAGAGATGGCTTTGAGATGGGAAGGATGGGATATTGGTAGGAAGGGATGAGGGGAAATCTTTCCTCACTAGTGGGACAGGGCAGAATCTCGAGACAATAGCAGAACAGCAAGCGTTCTGATTTGGGGTCTTGGAATGGATGGGGAGCAGCCACCGGAGATGAGGCTGGGGAGAGGTGATGGTCCAGGGCATTTCCTTTTTTTTTTTTTTTTTGAGAGGTTTTTACTATAGGGCGTGTGTGCTTGCCACACAGACAGGGAGATACAGAGAGACAGAAAGCGAGAAATCACCCCCAGGGTGGATGGTCACGCCGCAGTCCCTTCTCCTCCATTCTCCTCTCGGGATCTTGGGCACGCACGCACATGCGCCCGGCAGGAGTTTTAAGCCACCGGGTCTGGGACTCGAACCGCGGTCGACTATGTGGGAGTCCAGCGACATAGCCATTACGCCAACTGCTGGTCCCTCGGCCCAGGGCATTTCAGAGTGTGCCAACAGCCGTGGGTATAGAGATGTCAGGGTTGTAGTTTGTGGGTTCATAAAGACAGACCTCAGGATGTAAGGAATGGACTTATCATTTTTCTGTCCTTACAGAATGAAGGTGCTAAATCCTTCATTTTATGCTTTTAATTTTTCTAGAATAAAATTTATTTCTTATCTGTATTTGTTACATCAAAAGACCTTAATTCAGTCTTTCTAGAATTCTTTTTTAAAATTTTACAGTCACCGTGTGTCATTACAGCATACAAAATGAATTTTTTCATCCAGAATACACTGTATATTGACACAAAGATATTACCATACATCTTAAATTCACTCAGAGACTTCAGCCTTCCCAAGACAACAAATGGTTTTTCCGTGCTGCTGTGTGGAAGAAAACTCCCACGTGAGGGCTCAGCATTGCTAAAGGGGGACGGTAAGAGAACCTCTGGCCCTGCAGTACTCAACTGTTTGAGTCTCTGACCCCTGAGGGCAGCCAAATTGTTTTCGTTTTTAAATTATCAGAGGGTACATGGACTTGAGAGAAAGAGAGAGACAGAGAGGGGGGGAGATAAAGAGAGAAAGAGACATGGAGAGAGAGAGGGGAATGGAGAGAGAGGGAGAGAACACCCTTTTCTGGAATGTGGTCATGCCAAAATCTCTTCTCCTCCATTTCTCCATCTTGTTGGGATTTGGAGTATGCACATGTGGACAGCAAGTTTTTCAAGCTTCCAGAGCCAGGATTTGAACTCCACTTGCCCATGTAAGATTCAGCTCCTTTAACTACTAGTCGGTGAGGCCAGCCTCAAACCTTCTGTTTTATAAACTCAAAAGAGCCGAGTGATTTACTCACAGTGGCGTGGTGTTTACTGAGCATGTTCTGTATGTGCATTGTTATGTAGGTAAATATGAGTAAACAAGTTACTATTTTTCAGGAAATTTATGCTAATTTCCTGGCTCCGAGTCCAGTGCTTGTACTTTGCTGCTTGTCTATGACAATCCTTTACAGGAATCACATCTAATGGTTAATATGCCCAGAACTGAGGGCAGTGTTCACAGGTAGCTAAGCATAGCAATTTTCTTTCTTTTTTTAAAAATTAAAAAACGTTTATTTAATTCCATTTGGTATTATTATTATTTTTTTTAAAATTTGCCCAGAGAGAGATAGAGAGAAAGGAAGAAGAAGTGAGAAAGCAAGCCTCCAGGTCCAGAACTCGGACTGCGGTGGGCCATGTGGGAATCCAGTGCCCTTAACCACCTGCCACCTGCTGACCCCAGGTTTCTGGTGAAACTCAGTCTCCAAGCTAACTCCAGTGTGTACTCCCATTGGCAGGAAGAAAGCCAGAGCATGTACCGCCTATACTTAGTTATAAATCATACACATCCTTCTTTGCAACTTCTTAATTTTCATTATTAGCACACTAACCAAAATATGCTGTTATAAGAAAGAGAAATAAACCAAGCTCCTAGGATCTTCATGGACCTCACAAAGATGCTGGGGGAAGTACCTGCCTGGTCTCCCACACCTTCTGTGACCACGTGGTCTTTTCATCATGTCCCGAGAGTAATGTGGCTTCTTTGCTCCCATAGATACCAATCCCTCGTGGCTTCTTATGGTGAGGCCAAGCGACAGCGTTTTCTCAATGAGCTCGCCCAGCTGGAAGAAGATGTTCACCTGGCACGTTCCCAGGCTCGTGACAAGCTGGACAAATATGCCATTTACCACATGGTAGGTGAAGGTGTGGGTCACTTGGAGGTGCATGGACTAGATTGTAGTTCGTCTGCAGGATGCTCACGTGGCCTGAGGCACAGGTGCTGCCTAGGGAACGTGTCTTTCTGCCATGTCCTGACCATCCTTGCTTCTCGGTGGCAGGTGGAGGACCAGCTGGCCTTGGAAGGGTCCACTTTTGAAGAGCGCATTAGCAGGGCCCCTGAAATTCTGGTGCGGCTGCGGTCCCACACCGTCTGGGAGAAGATGTCTGTGAAGCTCTGCTTTACTGTGCAAGGATTTCCCACTCCCGTGGTGCAATGGTGAGGGGGCTTCTCAGGGGGCTGGGCAGACCACATTGTCCTTTAAGGAAGATTCAAATGAAGGGCATGCAGGCCACCGATCCCATGCTATTGACTGCTGTGCTCAAACTCTCTGTGGGAAATAGTTTCTAGAAACTTATGACATGAGCATTTTAACTAACAAGCAGCCATTTTGTTTTAGTGTCACTGATTCAACTGATTTTTCAGGGAATTTTTATTTAAAAGTCAGTTCCTGGGAATGACCTGCGTTCACATGCATGGCCCTCATCCAGTTTGCATTGGCATTGCTGATGACTCTGTGCAGAGCTTAGACCTCTGCTTTTAATTATGGGAAGGTATATAAGTGGAAACTGGAACTCCAAAGGCATGGGAATACAGTGCTGTAGTTAAATGAACTCTGTGATCATTGAAAAATTAAATCTTTAAATCCCATAGACCCTTTTTGTTTCAACATCTGTTGCTAAAATTAAATACACGTGTGCATGCCCCGAGCAGAATCGTGGCTCCATTCTGAGGCTGTGGTCCTGCTCGCCTTTGTGGGATGATGAAGCTGGCTTCCTTGAGTCAGAGTTCAGTGCTGTTAGATCCTATAGAACCCTCCCAGTGTATCCCAGCTACACTGTGGCCTAAACAGTCTAGCCTGCTACTGACAGTCTCTGTGTGTCTTTCCTTATGGAATGGGAAGCTCTGAATTCCTAAATAAGTTCAAGCAGGCCTTAGGACCACCATCTGCCACAGGTTGAGGGTTGACCAGATAATCTGAATCATGCAAGCTCCGCTGCTCTGCAAGTGGTAAAGATGTGCAATGATTAATTGTAATAATAATAATAATAATAATAAAAGAAATGGGTTTGGAGATATAATAGCATGGAGGAAAACTATAGATATCAGAGACTATGCAGGAGGATGGTGATTAGTAGGGGGTGAGTGGGAGGGGTTCAGGAAAAAGAAACATTTAACAGACACAAGAATGAAACTGCTCTGTTGAGGAGAGGTACCTGGTACTATCTTTGACTTGATTGACATACACTGCATGCTCTGAAAAATCATATTTAACTCCAGAAAGATGTACAGTGACTAAATGTAAATTAGAAATCATATAATAATAATCATAATAATAATAAAAACCCAAATGTGGGCTCTGGACCTTTCCCCCAAGGTCCCCTGATCCTGCCCACTTAGGGTAGCTCGCAGCGAAGCGTCCACAAGTAGGGTGGCAGCCTATTAGAAGGGCTGAGACAAAATGCCTGAAAACAAATGTGCCTTTCATTGAAAACCATTGTCTCCTTTGTCTAGGTACAAAGACGGTAGTCTCATTTGCCAGGCAGGTGAGCCCGGGAAGTACAGGATCGAGAGCAAGTATGGTGTGCATACGCTGGAGATTAACAGGTGAGGCCTGGGGGCGGGGGCGGGCAGAGTGTCTAGGCCTCCTGCACCCAATGGGCAATGTTCAAACTCACATGAAGAAATCTGATTGGCAAGCCCGAGGCCAAATAGCGCCATGTCTGTTGTACTCCGCGTGACTGCACGTGGTATTTATGAGTTAATTTAAGTGGTGTTAGAAACTGCTCTTTGTTAATCTTTGGTGTTAGGCCAGAGGACTGCAAATTTAGCAGCTTTGTCAAGAGTTTCCCTTTCTAGGAACCAAGAGAATAAATAGTTTAAGGAAGATAATGATATCTAGCTGCAAAGGTTACAGTGAAATGTAAGAATGGTACCTTGTCACCTGTTTAGCCTTGGGGCTGTATTTTGGTACCAGGTTTGAGTAATATTCCTTCAAAGTATATAACCTTTATTTTATCCTTACAATAAATTGAAGAAAATGTAGAACATATAGATAAGTAAAATAAAATAAAAAGTATCCATATTTCTAAATTCCAGTGTCAGTATTTTGGTATATGCTTTGTATTTTTTTCCTTCCATACAACACACACACACACACACACACAAACACATACACACAAACACACTTAATTTTTTGTCCACAAAAATGGGAACCTGGTGTCATTTTACTGTTTCTGTGCATCTATAGTTTTTATTTTTTACAAAAAGATTGTATTATTATGCAATCTAACTTTCAACTTCACCAATAGTATGTCATGATACGTTCCCGTGGCTCTACTACTAATTTTTCAAAAACACGTGACTACTTCATGTGCCGTAATAAAGAAGTGCCTCTTGGATAGGAATCAGAAGACCTGGATTTGGCTCACTGGTCCACAATTACCTTGTGACTTTGGATAATCCATTAAATCCTTCTGAATTGTAATATTCTTGTCTAAAAATATTTATCAAAAAGAAAAAAATCATAAATTTTTGTCAAATAGTCAGTAAAAGCTATATCTTTTCTCCTTGCCTAATAGTGTCTCACAAATATCAAATAAGTTGTATGTTATATTTATATATCTATTTATATGTGTATGTCTATGTATTACATAATATATGGTGAGTGTGTGTGTGAATTATACCAAATTCATTCTAGGAAAAGATGAGCAATACTAGAATAAATAATGTAAGAAATAAGGGAGATATTTGAATATCTGACTTTATTGACTTTATGATGACTAAACTGCAAAATAGCAATTGCATCATAATTAGGCTCAATTTCTTTAGAGGTAAACACAACCATTTATTCCCAGAAGTGAGTATAACACAGATATTTATCATTCCTATGTCTTCTCTCCAGATTGCATGCTTATAATAAAAGTATTTTTCCTTTTTATTTTCTTTCCATTAATAAGCTTTTATACATTAGGTTCTCTTAAAGAAAATAAATTCCGATACTCATTAAAGATGGTAAGAAAGACATTATTCAAAATACCACTTCAATGGGTCTTGTAGTGGGGGAGTGAGTGGTCTCAGCTTGGAATAAACCAAGAAAAGTGGGAAGGCACAGGTGAGCGCAGGCTGGAGGTCCGTGAATGAAAAAGGACTGAGCGGACACACCAGCAGGCCGGGGATTCTGCCTGGACCGGCCTGACAGGATCCTTGCTGTAGGCAGATCAGGGTGATCAGACATCACCTGGAGCATAGCAGAGGATGAGCAGATAGCACAGGATTGGGGTTCGGGCTAAGCTGACCGAGCAGAATTCTGGCTCTTGAGACACACTCAAGGATGGGCTCAGTTGGGAAGAAGGTTCAGAGAAGCTGGACTTCAGTTTAGTTTGGGAGGACATCTTTGTCGGTCCCTCTGTTATAACCCAGTGGAAGCTGTGTTTTCCCTAGATTCCCTCCTTCGGCCCCTCTCTTGCCCCTGCCTCATTCTTCCTCTCAAAGGCTCTTCCTTTTTGTACTACTTGAGCCAAGGCTGGAGCTGGCTCCTCCTGGTGTTTTTTGCCTCCTGGTCCAAGGATAGCATTTGAGGAAGTAGCCTTCCAGGCGTCTGGGTGAAGCATGGGGAGTTTCCCTCTCCCAGACAGAACCAATTGCTCCATCTGCCGATGAACTATGACAGGTTGTGATGGCTAATTAAAAGTTATGAGTTGTTTCTTAGGTAAATCTAAGGTTTTATAGAAAAGCTCCAGAGCCTGGTCTCACAGCCCTTCTGTCTTCTCTGAACTGTTTATTGAGCACCTCCCATGTGTGCTAGGCACTGTTCTAGGTCCGTGGCTACATCTATGTCCAACACCAACTTTACTATCTTTGAGATCTCACATTCAAGCGTCAAGAGGAAAACCACTTGCACAAATAAGTGGCTTATACAGGAAGTTGGAAGTGATGAGTGCTGAGCACAGAGGTTGGGGAAGGAGCTTAGGCCATGGAAGGGAAGCAGATTGTGGCATGAAATAGGGATTGGGACAGACCTCCATGGAGAAAATGTCAGGTGAGCAAGGCTTGAAGGGAATGAAGGAATTGGACAGAAAGCTATGAGGCTTGACTGTGAGCTTTCCAGGTGAGAAAGCCATGAATGCAAAGGCTCTGAGCAGTTTCCCTAGAACTACTGGGCTGGAAAGTTGGTAGGAGACCATGAGGCCAGAGGCTCAGCCAGACGCTGCAGATCACGTGGATCCTCCAAGCCTTGGGAAGGACACTGGCTTTGCTGGAGGAAAAGGGGGAGAATTCAGAGTGTTGAGGAGGGAAGGCCAGGATCTGGTTCTCATATCCAAAGGATCATTCTGACTCAGGACAGACTGCAGGGTACAGGCAGGGGCTGGTTGGAGAACTCTTGATGAAATTCATGAAAGGTTATGAGGGCTTGGAAAAGGGAGCGAGCTATAGAGCTGGTGAGAAAGGGGTGGAGTAGGACAGATTTTGAAGGAAGAGCCAATAGGATTTACTGGTGGATTGAACTGGGTGTTTGTGAAAGGGAGAAGCCAAAGTCTCCCCAGAGTTGTGGGCAAAGACACTGGAGGGTCCAGCAAGACTGAGGGTGGGCCTGGGGGTAAGGCACATGATCACACAGGAGCTGAGGTCTTCTGGCTCCTGGAGAGCCCATTGGAAGGCCTCTGAGTCCTTGATACAGTTTCCAGAGATTAACTTCCTTGATTTCCAAAGGAAGTGGAAAATTGAATAAGTAGAAAGCTGAAATACTAGAATAAGAACATTTGCCTTCATTTTGGAGAGCATATTTATTTCTAGGGAATGTTTGTTTTCTAATCAGGGCTGTGCTATGATTATTTAGGGGTAAGTAGGCCAGTTTGATTTAGCAATTAGCTATTTTTATAATTGTTTTAAACAGAAAAATGGAGCTGATCTTTTGGTTTAGTGGTTGAGGGGACAGAATCTCACATGGCTGACCATGTAGTTCAAATCCTGGCCCCAATGGCTTGAAAAACACGCTGGGTGTATGTGTATGCATGCCCAAAATCTCAAAAGGAGGGAGAAATGGAGAAGCAATTGCAGCATGATCACATTCCACTGGGGGTGTTTTCTCTTTCTCTGTGTCTCTGGTGAGCGCATGTGCCCTTTGGCCAATAAACAAACAAACATTAAAAAAAGATGTTTTTTCCTTGTGTATAAAAACTATTATATTTTCACTGGTTAGCAACATTTAAACTTTACATTAGGAAACAGAAGGATTTTGAGCAGAGTGAACTAATTCAACAAATACAGTGGATAATAGATCTCAAAATACCATAATTAAATGATTCACAAATCTGTTTTTTTTTTTTTTCCCAATGCAGTTGGATTTTGCAAAAAGATGCAAACATTTGGGAAATTTGGGAAAAGGAAATTCCTAAAATCAGCTCTTCTGTCAATATTCTTAGCTGTATTGGGGAGTTTCTGACAAATGAAATATGAATATTTTCCAGACAAAGAGCAATGGGGAAAACCCACCCATTATAGTTGGTCTCAGCTGTTCATAGCGAACTGCTGACCTGCACGTCATCTGATCTGTGGCCATTTTAAGTGGTGTGTAGTGTGTTGGCTTCCCCTTTCTTGGTTGGCTTAGGAATGAGCTTTTCTGTCTGTTACGGGAGTGACATTTATTCCTATGAATATTCTTTGGCCGCTAGAGCTGAATTCTTCAAGTGCCGAAAAGGAAGCCTATCCCTCGGTACTATATGAATTTGTACTTGTAATTGACACTATTTTATATGCTCATAATACTTTCTCGTGGGACTCATAACTTGAATTCTATTTCTTCAAAGAATTTTTATGCCGTGCTCATATTTTTATAAAATGGTTTAGAACAATTTACTTTACTTTTATTAGTAATGCCACTACTCCCCACTCCTCGCGGAATAATTTTAGGGCTGTCCATTTTTTTTTAATACAGTAACTTATTTTTAGATTTTGATATTTCAATTCTAATTAGAGTTGAATTCTAAATCCGATGGTGGCACCACCTACGGCTTGAGGACACTGAGCCATGACTACCCAGGAGAAAGTTATGTAGCACTTAACTTTTTTGTCCCCTATCTTTCAAATAGATAAAATAGTATTTCTTTTTCTCATGGAGTTGTTCTGGGGGCACTTCAAACTGAGACTTTGGGATGCAAAAGTGCCCTGCGAAAATTTGTAAAAACTGAGACCAAAGAAATCTGTCTATTCTGGGAGCCTGTCCAGAATAGAAAATAAAACCCTTTGGTTCCTAATCACTTGCTTGCAAGTTCTCACAGCATGATGTAAAGGCTAGAATTAGACTCTGTGGGTTAGCTTAATGCTTCCTCTTTTACTGCCTTGGGAAGGAGAGAAAGAATGAAGTCCTGTTGGGGTGTGTTGAGCTAAAGCTCCTCGTCATCTCCAAATTGCCAGCAGACAAAATTTTAAGGTGGGCAAAGTCCCTTCTGTAGCTGCCAAGTCCTTCCTGTCTGGGGTCTATTCTGCAGTCAACCCCTGAACCAGCAGTGGACATGTATTTCTAAGCCCTCCTTCCCAATCCACATATACATGTTTACAATCTATGCATGTACCTCTGTTCTGATATATTTCATATAGTATAACAT